GCGTTAGAGACAATTGTACCAAATTTTTACTAACCGGTTAATCGTGTCTACCAGCAAATCTTCCAGCCCCTAAATCATCCTTTCATGCAGTAATCAACAACTCCCAATTCCCTTTGATCCAGTCCCTGGCCTGCAATAGCATTCCGTAGCTATGCCACACTCCATTTCGGCTACGCTTGTTTTGGCCCACAAGATTCTGCACTGCCTTAACACTAGTTTGATAGGAGTGTTAAGTGTTGCTGGTTTACCAGAGAAGCATTTAATGGCAGCTGTGCCATCCCACTGGGAATCAGAGGATGAGACCCTGGGGGATTGCTGCAGAAGCAGGAGGGGTATCTCGCGCTGTCAATAATGAGATTAATGATGTGACAGAGATGGAACGGTAAAGAATCGGACTGCTGTTAAACGGAATTAGTTGTCAAATTTGGAGACGGGATCAGAGAACATGAGATGACACCGCTTGATAATCCCTAAGAGGATGCAGGGTATCACTGCTGCCCTGTCATAACATTTGATGAGGAGTAAAGGGAACATTCCAGAAGTGTGAAATAAATACTATAGCAGTTGTCACACTTTGTGTATCTCCATTTTAGTTCCAGAGAACATGTTTGGACAAGTAGTGCTGCTTGAAAGTCTGTATTTCCCACCTTTTTTATACATATTTTTGGCATTCCTAACTTTATTTAAAGAGAGAGAGAGAGCGAGTCGACTGTTACTTTCTCTTTTGTTCCATCCAACATTTATTTCCTACCATTAATCCTCATTTCCTTCCCACATACTTGTCTACCTACCTACCTTAATTTCCATATCGTTATCTTTCTTAATTCACTCCTTTCCTGTTCTCACTTCATTTCTTTCCTCATTTTCCCTCCTTTCCTTCCTTCTTACCTATTTACCTATACCTTACTTTGCCTTCCATCCCTTCCCACATCTGACAAAATTGAACTAGACTGCCACCTTAAAATCGGTGACTACCAAACATCTAATTGGGTGTATGCAGATGTGCTTTTCCAAAAAATAATACAAAAAATAATTTCCTGTTAACGTTAACATCACCACTCAGTTATCCCAAGCAGCCCCACATAAAGTCCAGAGAGACAGAATAATAACATGGGAACCTGTCAGAAAAATGAGTCTGTGCATGTGACAAAGAGGGATAGATAAAGGTGTGAGCTTGCAGCGCTGAAGCCGAAGCGAGTTGAGTAAATAATCGGCCGTCTGAGGAGCCGCGGGTGCGGGGCCGGTGTGTCAGCAGGCGATGGATGAGTCCCCAGGCCTGATTGTAAAGCCCAGCAGGTTGTGTTGGTTGAGTGAGTCTGTGCCGAGTGGAGTCTCAATCTTCCCTCTAATAGGCCACTGACAGCCCTTTACCACACACATATACACACACTTGCGAGTACACACATCAATAAAGTGTCCTGACAGGGACCGTAGCCTCAGCTTTGGTACCTAGCGTGCAGTTCTTGACTAAACCGGCCGCACACATGCTCTCAAAGACATGGGCGGCATCAATTCTGCGGCGCTATCATTAAACAATAGGTAAGGTGGAACAATACAGAGAAGTGCGTAGTATACGGCTGGCTGTGTAAGACACAAGCTCTCTGACAAGCCGTATTTGTCATCCGCCAGGAGACGGGCTGGTCCGACATCGGTGGTACAGATGAGAGGTGTGTGAAAAAGTGACTTTGAGCCAGACAACTAATCTTGCAGCCTCACATACACGACCCCTTGACAGAGGCCCACACGTGTGTGTTTGCTCCCTCACTTATGGAGTCTGGTCATATACTCCACAGCTCAAGCACTCCTTCACATAAACACTAATAAATGGTCCTCCATATTACACACAGTTGTACTGTCAGACACATCTCTCTGCTGTGCTCTATTTTTAGGCCATATTGTGCAGAGATTTGATCATTGCTAAATGTTTGTCGAAGATGAATTCCCCGGCTGATACGGAAGTGTGTGTGCATGTATGGGTTCGGTGATAAATGGAGAGGGGCACCCTGGAGTAGAAGACAGGGAAAAATAGGGGGAGGAAGGTTTTCTATTGGTACAGGAAATGTGAGTTTCTATTGTAACATTATGGAATGGCCATTATAAAGACCAGGGGAAGATTAACTGTTTAAATAACCAGGTAAAGGAATATTATCAAAAACAATACATTTGTATTTGCTTTCCCTAATTCATATTGTCTTCTTTCCTGCCCATTCATCCGATTCCTTGCAATTAATTCCTTCCGGCCTGTCTTTCTTATTTTTCTTTTTTTTTCTTTTTTCTACACTCAGTTTCTTCTTTCAATTTCCATTCATTCATTCATTCATTTCTTCTAACATCCTTCCATTTTTACTTCTTTACATCCCTCCTTCCGGCCTGTCTTTCTTATTTTTCTTTTTTTTTTCTACACTCAGTTTCTTCTTTCAGTTTCCATTCATTCATTCATTCATTTCTTCTAACATCCTTCCATTTGTACTTCTTTACATCCCTCCTTTCCTATACCTTGTCCTTCCTTCCTTCCTTCCATTTTGTATTCCTCTCATTTCTTTCTTTCCTCTTTCATTCCTTCTTTTCTTCTTTCATTACTTAATTTCTTCTTTCATTCAAAAGTCCATCCCATTTTGTACCCCTCTCCTTTCTTTCTTTCCTCTATCTTCCCTTCCTTTCTTCTTTCATTACTTCATTCATTCCTTTCTTCTTTCATTCAAGAGTTCTTACTCTGAGATACATTAAGCACAGTTGAGCACAACTGAGAATTTATGTTTAATTTAACTCTTGTTAAATCTGCGTTCCCTGTAATTAGTTTTAAAGTAAATACCATCTGTTAACAAATACAACCTTTTTGTAAGCAGTTGTAAATGATTAAGTAAAAGTTTAATCCAAAGCCTTTCTGCTTTGTCTTTTTCCTCCGCTAACCCTCTCTGATTTCCTTAAGATCTTTAAGTAATTCCATTCTCCCTTTGGCTTGTCTAACATGCTAAATTGTAGCTGCTGGGAATAAATCTTTGGTGTTTTTACCTCTTGTGTACAGCGGCAAAGAGGGAAAGCTGCCATGCAGAGTCCATCTTTTACTCAGCCCCCATACATGCATGTCACTTCAACCCAGCCACTCATAAAGCAACATGATGGATAAATGAATACAGAAATAAATAAATAAAAGCCACACTTATTCTCTCCCGCACATCCTTTCCTCCGCCTCTCTGATGGATCTGTGAAATGATATAAGGAATAAGACTTAGAGGGAGGGAGAAAGAAAGGGTTGGGGTGGAGAGACGGATATGATTTATTAGGCTGATAAAAATTCAGCCTTTGTTATTCAGTCATTTTTCCATGTGCGGCTTATTAAGGAGCGCACCTGCCAGGGGAAGAGTTTGTGTGCGCCTCTGGGTGTACGTCTAAATGTGTGTGTCCCGTAGAGTAGGAAGACTCAGACCTCACAGAGCCAGTTTAGATGACACCCTCTGCGCCTCTGTCTGTGTTCAGTGCCATATTTTTATGTATATTAATGTCTCCCTTTGCACCTAGCATTATTATGAAATTGCAGTGACCAAATCACATTTGATGACACTTAACCCAGTGGTTCCCAAACTTTTTCTGCTGGGCCCACCTTTTGTAGAGAAATGTTTTCAAGCCCCACACATACACATACATCTCATGACCTCAGACACTCTCAGAAATGACCTTGCTTGCATAATTCTATAGGATTTATTCGAAACATTGTAATTAATGCAGTACTATAACTTCTTCAGGCTTATCTTTGTGATGTGAAGTCTCTTAAGTGGCGTCCTAGCCTGGAGATAATACTTTGAAGGGCAACACACTGTGCTCTCTCTTCATGACCCACCGTTACACTGTTGAATTTGAGGGCAAGATACGCCTAGTCATATTTTCTTGTCTTTTCACTATGTCTCGAAGACGGCGGCCATACTCTCCACTAGACGCAACAAAGCGAATGTTGTGACTTGTCGTGTCTTGTCAAGTGTTGGACAGCATTACTGATTATACTGGGGTCTATTTGCTTTTGTAGTGTCGTGTTGTTTAAAAATGACATTACAACTTGTATCTGCACAAATAACCCAATCTTAGTCATTAATGTCTGGCATTACATTTGAGCACTTTAAACACCAGTAAACTGAAGCGCTTTAGCGGGTTACGTAATAAACTCAACCAAACACATCCTAATATGAGATAATTGGTAACACTTTCCAATAAGGTTAATTTATTAAACATTAGTTAATGTATTAACTAACATGAACTAACCATGAGCAATACATTTGTTACTGTTTTTGTTAATCTTTGTTAACGTTAGTTAATACAAATCCAGCTGTTCTTTGTTTGTTCATGTTGTTAACAAGATTTTAATAAAGTATTAGTAAATGTTGAAATTAACATTTAACAAAGATTAACAAATGCTATAGTATTGTTCATTCTTAGTTAATGTTAACTAATGTAGTTAACTAATGAACCTTTTTGTAAAGTGTTACCAGATAATCATACATATATGCAACATAAAAAGTAATATTAAGACTAACATGCACAAAAGGACATGAATGCACACGTGAACTGAGCATGTTCTGAACGCATGTTGTGGATGCACTCTTTCCGCAACTAAAGCACACATAATTTGCAACAATCAATTACAATCAATAGTGTTCTCATTATAATGTTATATAAATGGCAGATTGGCGCTGCACGTCTTGAACTTGAATTTTATTTTCATGATAAAAGTGAATCCAGGCAAGTTTCACATGCAATTTATCCAGATACCAAACATGTTTATACTACATGTAGGTGTTAAAGCATCTGGTTAGTAATGTGTGCGTGTATGTGTGTGTAAAACGTAAAAAGTATCTATCTCTAACTGGAGTTTATGCAAACCACAGGCTGACTAACTAATGACTCAGTTATAGCTTATGTGAGCATCATTAAGTGATTAAGCATTATTGATCAGCGAAGTGACATGTCAACCATTAATTCCCTTCCATGATTTGTCTGTTCCTTTGCAGGCCCCACCTCTTCACCAGTGCGAAGCCCGGCATCACATCGGGGCATCAAAACACGCTACAAGATCGACACACGCAAAGCGCATACCATCCAATCCTTCAGGGTCAAGAGAGTACATTCTGCCAGGTATGTGATTGGGTGTTTTTTTAGTGGAGGTGGAAATGATCAGCACTTGATCCACTTCCTGTTTGTCTCCTCTTCAACAAGGCTCATTTCAATGACTTTATCCCATCATAAATTTTGCGTTTGCACTTGTGCGTGCATCCCACTCACAATCTCAGTCCGGCACAACCAATTACCAGACTGATTAAAACCTCTCTGTTGACATTCAGTGTTTTTTATCAGTGTCTCAGTGCCTAATAAAAGATTAAATAACCGCCTGGCCCTTAATAACGCCACACAGAACCATAACTAACTGCCTCATCACCGCTGATAATGACAGAGAGAAGGTGCCGCTCATCATGGTAATCTATTACTGGAACCATAATATTACACCATAAAGATGTAATACGGGATGCTCATGTGTACATGTGGGTAGTCACTGAGACAGGCTTGTAATGGCCAATGGTGCCTTGAAATATTTTTTTTGTATGCATGTATAGCGAGAAACGACTGCAATGATCAAAGAGGTCCATCAAACACATTTTTACATAAAAAACAATGGAGCGCAGTGGAATGCAAAAACCTGTTCTGTGTGAACAGAAGTTATATGAAAAGCCTTTTCTATCAGAGCTGTGGCATAACAGTTTTCATACATGCCTTAGACATGTTGATACAGAAGTGCTCATGGAAGAAGAAAACATTCTGATTTAAATGACAAACTTTCTTTGTTTGCGAAAGAGAGCGTCTTGCTGCTGCTGCTGCACTAAATGAGGTGACGAGTTCCCTCTGTGTTGTTCCGTTCACACAGCACAGGTTTACCAGACACTCTTTCAAAATTTGGCGAGTCCTGCATTTGTTACTCTTCATAATGAAAACTGATCTAACTAACAATATTGGAAAACATTGCATTAACGTTCCCATTGTGAAAAGGGTCTGACATGGCTGAAGTATTTAGAGAATTTGAGTATGAGACTTTAAAGCAAAATTACGAGAGCTTGGAAGGCTTCTAGATTGTGAATGCTTTATAAAAAGACACAGAAGGAAGATGGGTCACTGCTGTGTCTGTATGGCATTAGCTTTTGTCTGATTGGAGGCCACTGAGAAATCCTATTCACTTAAGGGTGTAAATGAAGCACTCATGCGTATGGGTGTAAATTTTTTATTCCCCCTCTTATCTACAGAGTTAAAATGATCTTCATAAATCCCCCTGCTGTGTGGGCCTGGTTTAGCCATGTATAAAAAAAGAGACTGTGGATTATAGGTGTTATATGTTAAGAAGGGTGCCACATTAAACAAAATAACCTTCTCTTTTATCTCGCTTGCTCTCTTTTACTGTCTTTGGTGAGGATTGCTTTACACTGCCTTGAGTGCCTTCACTCTTTCTGGTCCAGAGCTGATCCATTTATGTCCATGGGTTTTAAATAAGTAGTGATCCCTGCTCATATTGTATGAGCTGATAATAGTTTCTTGAGGACACGTGCCTTATGTGTTTACTCTCATTTAGTTTGGACATGATTGCTCAAAGATGATTTAAAAAAAAAGTCTTTTTTAAATGGAAATAATCCAGCTAAAGAGACATACATGTGCCTGATTAAGTAAATATACGGGTACTGTATATGTAGTCATCACATGGCAGTTGAGAACATTTTGGCCGACAGACGTCTAACAGCTGGTCTTCAAATAGATGATTAACAGGTCTGCAGGTCAGACTCTCATCACAGCTCATTATTGAAAAGATGCTGACATTTTGACCTCAGTGGCCTGCACACAAGTATTCTGTATAGTTTGGATTTAGATATATTTTTTTGTTGGTGTAATTGAATTTCTAGCTCTTTTCAGATTAATCTGTAATTCATTTGTGAGAAAACACTTTACATTACACTTCCTAAGCAACTAATGAATGTACTGAAAGTGAAGCCTAACTGCTTTGTGGAAAGGGCTACTAAAAAAAACTGTGTAGTATACAGTAAGTAGATTTTACAACATCATATTGAATGAATGAGGCATTAATATAGCGCTTTCATAGATAGCATACTACTGTACACCCAAAGTGCTTAACAATCATATCAGGGAATCCCTCCTCAACCACCTCCATTGTGCAGCATCCACTTGGATGATGTGACGGCAGCCACAGTACAACAGTATGCTCACCACACACCACCAGCCAATAGAGCTGGTAAGTCCCGGCCCTTCCGCTAACCCCGCTGGACCTCTAGGTTGAAAAATCTTCAATGCAAGTGAATGAGAGAAAATAATTATTTTCTAATCCTGTTTGAATTTTGCAATGAATGTGAACATATGTTGTCTGTGAATTTTTTATAGAATTTTTCATGTAAAGAATGCTACAATTTAGCGGGTAGAATGTTCATACGGTTAGACATATACGTCACAACCACTAGCACACGGATCCCACTAAACATGCCTGTGTCTTTGGTGCACTTCACCGCCTTCTTTCAGTGAGAGGACAAACTAGTTGAGCGTGATGAAAACTGTGAGTTTGTGAGGGAAAATACGTTATGCGGTGACGTCACATATGCGACATGTAGTCTTTCTCGTTATGTCTATTCAACAACTGCTAGCCAAAGAATCACACAATATACTGTCAAACTCGTTACATGAGAAATTATATAAAAAATTCACAGACAACATATGTTCACATTCATGGCACAATTCAAACGGGATCAGAAAATAATTATTTTCTCTCATTCACTTGCATTGACGCTTTTTCAACCTAGAGGTCCACTGGATGGAACTTACCAGTTCTATGGTGGAGAGGAGTGAGAGTGATAGAGCCAATTCAGTGGATGGGGATTATTAGGAGGCCATGATTGGCAAGGGCCAATGGATGGAATTGCCAAGGGATTTTTAATGACCGCAGAGAGTTTACGTCTCATCCAAAGGACGATATTAAAGGGTTAGTTCACCCAAAAATGAAAATTAAGTCATTAATTACTCACCCCCATGCTGTACCAACCCCGTAAGACCTTCGTTCATCTTCGGAACACAAATAAAGATATTTTTGATTGAATCTGACAGCTGGATCAGTCCTACATAGAATGCCTAAAGGACTGGCTCTTGACGGCCCATAAAGTCATTAAAGAAAAGGTTTAAATATTCCATGTGCCTACAGCGGCTCAATTATAAGTTTATCAAGCGACAAGACTACTTTTTGTGCGAAAAAAAAAAAAAAAAAACATAAATAACGACTTAATTCGACTATTCTATTACTTCCTTATGGGCGCATGCGCAAGAACTGAGATGAGGACGTTCTTCTCCTTCGACTACTTTTTGTTACCGGCTGCTCCACTTAGGAGTATTACCGCCACCTACCGTATAAAATGATGATCTATATATAAAGCGCTCCGGATTATAAGGAACACTGTCGTTTTTTGAGAAGATTAAAGGCTTTTAAGTGCACCTTGTAGTGCAGAAAATACACTAATTGAAAAGCGTATGTACAGCGCGCATCTTCCTCTGCTTGTAAACAGAAAGTTTTGCGCTTCCAGCTATATCCGCACATCATCTTATACGGTAGGTGGCGGTAATACTCCTAAGCGGAGCAGCCGGTAACAAAAAGTAGTCGAAGGAGAAGAACGTCCTCGTCTCAGTTCTCCCGCATGCGCCCATTAGGAAGTAATAGAATAGTCGAATTAAGTCGTTATTTATGTTTTTTTCGCACAAAAAGTAGTCTTGTCGCTTGATAAACTTATAATTGAGCCGCTGTAGGCACATGGAATATTTAAACCTTTTCTTTAATGACTTTATGGGCCGTCAAGAGCCAGTCCCTTAGGCAGTCTATCTAGGACTGATCTAGCTCTCAGATTCAATCAAAAATATCTTTATTTGTGTTCCGAAGATGATCGAAGGTCTTACGGGGTTGGAACAGCATGGGGGTGAGTAATTAATGACTTAATTTTCATTTTTGGGTGAACTAACCCTTTAATTGAGAGGATACATTTGAACATAATTTTGCAGATCACTGAAATTTTGCTGCCCAAATGAATTTTCAAATGTTTGTTGTCTCTCTCTTAAAGGTGATTAAAAGTGGCAAAAAGACACTAACCAGAAAATTGTGACCAGTCACATAATTTTCAAAAATGCTGTACATTTTTTTTTTTTTTTTTTTTAACAGAAAAATCTAAAATAGTATTTTAGAAACTAAAATATTTGATAATATGCACTGCAGCATGATTACAGCATTTTGTAACTTTTTTGTGCAGGTCATTGATACTTCATTTATGTCATTTGGGTTTGCTGGGGCAGTGCTCTTGGGATTTGAATGGGTAAACAAGTGTGTGTTTGTTGGGCTTCATTTGTGTAATGCAGATTTTGTGAGATGCGCGCTTTGCTTCAGATTGCCTTTGAGCTGCGGTGACTTACCGCCATTCATTTAGCTGCCTGCAATAAATATTGATTCATCAAGGGATTTTCAATTTGAACCTCTGTGACGCATTGTGAAATATTACAAGAGAGAGGGAAATGAGAAGGAGAGAGAGATAGCATGGGGGGTGAGAAGATAAGGGACGATTTTTAACGATCCATCTCTTTCTTTCTTTCATTCATTGGTGATGCTTATTTTTAGAGTATTTTAGAGTATGGCCATCTGCCATGTTCTTATTACATTTACACATTTGGCAGACATTACATATACGCTTTTATCCAAAGCGACTTACTGTGCATTCAAGTGTTTCAGTTTGCCAGTACATGCTCTCCCTGGGCTTTGAACCTGTGATGCTGCTACACAACATGCTTTACTTAATGAAGAGAGACTCTTGGTGTTGTGGCTTTTTTTAGTTAACAAACACACTCACAGATGGCCGATCACAGTCCACCAACCCTGAGCTCAAGCAGGAGAAGAACAGAGCCCCTCTCCGTCTCACACATGAGCAGACAGACGCGGGGCTCTTTAGCCCCTCACCCTTCCGTGCAGTGACCCGCCGTCCGGCGCAGCGAGCTGGAGAGCGGTGGGTGTGTGTAGTCAGCAGTGCGGCTGTGTCTGGTGATTGAGTGTTTGAGGGGACTGG